GACAATAAATAAAAATTATAAAAAATGTTTTAATGAAAATGTTACTAAGATTTAAAAAAATATATTAAAGACTGAATAAAAAATTAAATCAATGTAAAAAAATAAAAACACGAAGTTAACAGTTACTATATGCGCAAAAACTTAACTTTAAACTTTTCAAAAATCAAGTTTTAAAAATTAACAATATTTTATTTTAAGTGCCAAGAAAAAAACAAATTTATAACTATTTCTAAAATAATAAAAATAAATAAGTTTCAAATCCAAATAAAACACTGCAATTACGATTAATTAAAAAATTTTAAAACTACTTATATATAAAAATCAAATTAGTGAAAACTAGATTAATTGCTACATAATTAGCGCCATAGAAACTAAAATGAAATTTTTTAAAAAATCAAAAAAAAAATTTAATTTTTAAAAATTCAAAATTTTCAAATTTTAAATTTTTAAAATGAAAGTTTTTAAAAAATAAAATTTAAAAATTCAAAAATTTAATTTCAAAAATCTAATTTTGAATTTTTACAAGAAAAACATGCAAAAATAAAATTATCGCCTTCGTTGTACTGCACGCTGTCTTTATGCGCACATACTTAAGCCGCTTGTGCTTGCCACACGTGCCCCTAATCACCACAATCACCAAGAGTGCCGTTGCGTATGAAATTATGTAAATTTGCAATATAGTGCATATGCGTGCGCATTTGCGGTGCCCCACACACCACTCACACGCACAAAAAAGTACGCTATTTCCTTAAGTTATTATGCTTAGCTCCACTACAGACATTTGACAACTTTCCAATTGTCGTTTGTTTTTGTTGTTGTTCTTGTTTATTTATAACATTATTGGTTTGTGCTTCAGTCAATCAACGCCCACTGTTCATTAAATTGCCTGCACTTCGCACACGAAATACGTTTCAAAACTACACGGCGAGTCATTCCACTTCAGACCCTTGCCATCACGGTTCCACAACTCCATGCAGTTCTCCTCTTCACCATTCTCATAACGGAAATTATTCGGTTCGCCAGCATTCCAATTCGTAAATGTAATGGGCCGACCATTGGCCATCCAAAAGTAGTTGCCCTCATCGGCCAAGTCAGTGCCAGATGTCCAGAAGTGTTCGTGACCCAAACCTGCTGAGACGCGGTAATCAGCAGAACCAAAGTGCCCAAAGTGACGTGAGCGTATGTATGTGCGTGTTGACATATGGTAAAGAAAATAGTGCATTATTATTGTATTTATGTAAATAAATAACATTCTGTATATAAATAATGCGAATACATTGTGGCAGGCGGTAAATCATACACGAGCGTAAAGTTAGTGGCGCAAGCGCACCTAAAGGCACCTCAAGGCTTAAAGTTGCCAGTCAAATGCCGCAAATCAGGGGGAGACACACGAAATGCGAGTGACCACAGCCGCCAGCCGCAGTGCCAATGGCCAGCTGTGGTGAAGCTAGCGCCCCGCATAATTTAGGTTAGCACGAGCGCTATGTGCTTAGAATGTGTGGTGGTAATACTAGCGAAACTGACGTCTGCGGCGAGCGTGACACACAATGGGTAAGCAGTAAGTAGTTGCTTTCACTCTAAATATATGTATATATGTATACGCGATTTTTTGTTGTATATAGGTATTCCTTATTATATGTATTTGTTTGTGTATTCACACATAAGTCGTGCAAATAGTCGCAAATCCAAAAAACACCAGCACAAGCATTGTGTTGCTCGTTAACTTACCCAGGCATGCCTCATGTAAACTGTGGCACGTTGCAAGTAGCAAAAGTAGAAATAGCGAAAAAGCGTGCAGAAATGCGAGAAAAATGAAATAATAATATTAAAATACAATATATTAGTTTTCAGTTTTCCGGGTATTATGTGAGGCTAAAGAGGTGCATTGACCATTGCCACCATCCAGGCGCGCAGGCGGCACAATAAAGCATGGCATAGAGTGCCATTCACTTGGTACCTTTCTGGCATTTAAACTTATGTAACATAATGCGGCCATAGCACGACATAGCCGCAGGCAACAACAAACAAAAAAAATAATAATAATCGGAAAATGTGCTGAATTCGCTTGGCAACATGAAAGTATAAGTGAGTAATCTCATGCGCTTAGGAGTGCAAATACTACTTTTACAGCAAACAAAATCACAGCAAAAAAATCACATCAAATTAGCGCAGTGAAGGTAAGCGCTGCAACTTTGCTACAATTTATTTGATACAATTTATTAACCACGTCTATTTAATTGTGAGTCTGTTATTTCTTTTGCATTGCCAACATATTTAATTGAAGATCGTTTTTGCAGTTTTTGGCGCAACTTACTTAAAATTCCTTACAGTGGCATGTATGTAAGTATTTGTGGACAACTGTGTGTTACAACTGCTTAATGCGCCGCTTATTGCTCTACTTCTGAATGGTATAAGTAATTAGCTACGTAATTGAGTATTTAATCACGGGTGTTTGCTAAGCCGATTTGTTAATCTCGCATTTATATTGGCCAGCTGCGCGTGAGATACTCTTTCTTACCGCTTTGCCACAATTACCGGCCATTTTGGTTGGTGAGTTACTCACCAAAGTCGCGTATGTGTTTTTCCAGTCTGTCATTCTCTTCTTGTGATGCAATACTTGCTAAGTGCATGCCGTGATAGCGGCAATATTGTGATGCTTTGAACCAATTCGCCTGAAAGAAATAAAGCCAAATTTAGAGATATCAACAGGATGCTAATGAATATGATGTATTGTAAGCGATAAGTTTATTAAGAATATTAAACAAAATGTCAAAAATTATAATAAAAATACACCTAAGCAGTACAAAAAGTATCCGCTTTAGCCATTAAGGCCATCAGCTTCGTAATAATAATAATAATTTTGAAAACATATTTAATTTTTTAGACTTTTGATTCATTGTTGTCATTTTAACAACTTAAAGTTCCACTTCTAACGAATCTTTAAAATTATAATTTAAAGTTAATTAAGGTTTGCACTTCAAGCCTCACTATACAAGCGTTCTTAAAGACCCAGCACTCGGATTAATTAAAGGAACTTGCTGGGGGCTATTGGGGTAATGTGATTCCTACCCATATATGTACATATATATAGATATACCTTTGGCTGAAAGCGCCATAAAGCTGAGTCTACAGAGTGCTGTGCAATTTAGAATCATGTACTCTGGAGTTTCCGGTTCCATGTCATAACAGTAACAACTAGATACAATTAACGAATTGACAGCTATACATACATATATCTATACCATACATACATATATCTATCTAATACTTGGATTCTTGGTTATAGAAGTTAGGTTATCTCTTCTAGAAATACGCCAATGATTATATTTCGTTATGGAAGCTAACTTGGATAGTCTTTTGAAAAAAACATAAAATAAAAAAATGTTTCTGATTACGAAATATTGGTTTAGCAAAACTGACTTGGAGCGATCCTGCTCCGACACACACGGAAAATTGTTTTTCTTAGACGAGATCTATTGAATGGACGAGATCTATTATTGGATAGTAATTCTGTCATTAAAAATACATATAAGCCACTGAGATGCGCATCGTTAATGAGAGAGGAAGCCAGGTCAGACTTTAATCAGAGATTTAAATGTCAATTATATATGCATGTAATACTACACTGAGCGTCCGAATCATGAGATATATCCTATTCTGTAATATTATAGAGCTCTGTAAACAATGGAGAACAGCGAATAATCAATATACATATATTGGAATAATGATCATTACAGTTCTAGTCCTCAGATATTAAAGATATGAATTAAGTTATTGGATTTTAAGTGTATGTCTATTTGCTAACTAACTTTATAAATAGGTAACCTTTTTTTTTGTAGAACATTTTGGAAAATTTTTAACAACCATGGGTGGAACCTTACGCAATAATGTCGCAAGTAAATCTGATATTATAATCATGTTTTGATACATTCATGAAAGTTATATGCAAAGTTTTTCACATAGCAAATAAAAAGTTTAATATAAAAATCTCGAAAAGGCTTTTTGAAAAATAAAATATTAATATATTTACTTTATTAACTTTAATCCTATGAGAACCTAAGAATGAAAATAATGCAATAAATATTAAAAAAACGTTACAATAATATTTTGAGTACTTACATTATATGCCACTGTGAACGAAATATTCATTTTGTGGATAATAAATATAGAATGAAAATTCACTCATAATCTTAAATTTAATATCGCAAGTCATATGACTTGGTCTCTAATATGTTCTATTTAAACACCCAGTAAGTTGCTAGAACTAGTAGAGAACATTTTGTATTGTTTTTTATTTTCCAAAGAATAGTATAAAGATCGAAAAATTTAGTAATATTCCCCACTAATAGAACATCTACGATAAAAATTTTGATATTGTAGACTAACAATTGGTTTTGTTTAAAAAAATTTTAGTAAAATTTCACATCCAAAAAGATACGGGAAGTATTAGAACACAATAAGAAATAGGTGTAGAATTTCTCAAAGCTTTTTTATGCTACATATATACGCTCCTCCGTATTTCCTTAAAGAGAAGGTTAAGGGAGATCAATACAATGTTTATTTGAGTCCGTCTGAATTCTTTTGTTTATTTATTTCGTTACATTTTTTTCATAATATCATGCATTATTTTAATCACGCATAAAACAGACCCATTTTAGTTAAGTTTCCCTATATATATTACAAATTTCAAATTGTATTATACTACATGCTACATATATGCAGTTTGCCGTATTACTCAGCGATATTTTTTCAAGGAAGAAAGGTGGATAATGGAGAAATTTAGTGACATATGCAAGTATAAAGGTTTTCTATCGGATGATCTATCTTAAGAAGTTGTAAATAAAAAATGTTTTATTTTGATTTGAAATAACAAGTAACTTGTATGTTGAAATGCGGTAAGCGTTACCAAGCAGCCCAATTAACTGTGCATTCTAGTGCATCAACACATGTCAGAGCACAAGTGTAGATAATTATGTATGCTCGTATTTGAATTCGCTCGATTTAATGTTATATATGTGTGCGTGTCATATTGAATCAAGAATGTCAATTTTGTCTGGTTGCTACTTGTAGACTTCCGTCACCTGTGTGTGAAGTAAATCTGCCATCGACATGCTAACATTTTTATTTCGTCGTCAGATGACAGTCTGATGGCCAAACCAAATCGAAAAAGTTGTTTTATGTTTTTCTTTTGGTGGCAACATTAACGAAATGCAATGCTACCGACATTTCGGTAGCCAAAAATGTTTTTCCGTCCTTCTGTTGAATATGGAGTGACGGATGTCTGACAGACGACTTAAATATTCATAAGAAAAAAATTAAGTATTTATCATAGAAAAAATTGATTTTATTTATTGTTGTAGTTGTTGCTTTGAGTGCTGATTTTAATATAAATATTTAAAAGAGTTACATGTATATATGTTGATTTAGAAAAACAACATTGGTTATTTAAATTAATACAGGATTCCAAAAATTTATTTAAAACACTTCTGTTCTCGTTGAGTTTCGGCACTTGTCAAAGAATGTTCATCTAAAAACAATTAATTTAAATAACAATTCAAAGAGAATATCTTATAAAAGTGGTATAACCTCTTGCACTTTAGTTCATATTTCTCTATGATAGTTTACTTAATTTATACCAGTTCGGTTATACTAGCCTTCGTTTTATCACACTCTCTTTTCGCCATTTTATTTTATACCAGTTTTGCTTTCGATTCGTCACAATCGCTTTCCTATTTAATGTAACTTCATAGAATTTTATTTTTTTATTTCATAAGAGTGGTATAATCTCTTGCAATTTATTTATTCCAGTCATTTTAATTTATACCAGTTAATTATTCAGTTCAGAATGGTTTATTTTTGCCTTTTTTTATATATATTAGTTTTTCATTCGATCCGTGAGACTCCCTTTCGGTTTTTTATTTTATATCAGATGTGTGCTTGATTTGCCAATATCTACTTTTGGCCTAACTTCGTGCAATTTTTGTAATTTTTTATCTTTTAAATTCGTATAATCTCCTGCAATTTAATTATAACGGTTTATTTAATTTATACCAGCTGAATATTCGAGTCAGCAAGTTCTATTTTTGGTTTTCTATTTTATACCAGTTTTGGATTCGACCTTTTATTTTATGCCATATGAGTGTTCGATTCGCCAATATCTACCTTTATTCAGTTCAATGTAACTACTTGCAATTCTTAATAAATTTGATTAATTTTGTAATGAAATTTCAGAAATTACAATTTTTTTTTAAGTTTTTGTTGAACTTCCAACAGCTGAAAGTGCAAATTTTTAAAAAATAATTTCAAATAACAGAATTTTAAAACTGCTCTTTGTTTATAATTATTAAATTTTAGTATTCATTAATATGTCTTCCTATGCTGCTGTTCGAATTTTTAGTCAGGTACTATTTATTTGGGCCAATGCATTACCTAATGAATCATCGAACACTGATTTGGTGAAATTAATGCACTCGAAATTCATTTCTGCTAATTAAAACCATTCGAGCATGTAAGCACATGTACATATACAGTGTAAATATTTGAGTACATATGTATGTTGACGTATGCATGTGCCCAATAAACTACACGTAAAATATATTCGTAAATTCGCATAAATATGTATGCAGACAAATGTGTGTAAATCATTTCATTCAATTTAGTTAGCATTTAACCACAATTGCATGAATACTTTGACAGCAACTGTTGCTGTCAATTGCTTTTGGCACACAGAAACTTAATATAATTTGGTTTCATGCGTTGGCCTGCCATTTATGCAACACATCTACTCAATCGGCATTTAAGTGAAGGCAGCTTCATGCCAACACTCTGTTTATATGCTATTCATATACATAATTAAGTAATAACCGAACTGAATATTTATTCCATTACAGCAATGGCCAACGTGCCTTGTGAATTGCAAATGTTCTTTTCTTCTGAAATATTTTCGAAGCTGCTGAAATGTAGCAATTTGGTATGCATGGGGAGTCACACATTTGCTATCGACTAATAAATTGATTGATTTGAACAAGCTCTAAACAATATCCCAGAATTCGTATTACAAAATTTTTATCTAACATTTCTTGATATTATATAATGCCCAAGATTTGATACAAATCATTTTCACTCCCAACAAAGGTTATGTAAAACTAAGCTATCAATACTTCTATCAAGATTTAAATCGGTAAAAGTATGGACAATGGGAGCGACTCAACCGACTTTTCTTTACTACTATGACTAAAACATACATGGTAAGATTTTGTTCGAAATTTTAATTATTCTTCAAAATCTATGTCGTCCCCCTTAAAGTAATTCCATTGGCCCCAAAACACTGGTTTCAACCTTTTTTTCCAATCCTCCAAACAGTTGTTAAAATCGAAAATGTTTGACCGGAAGGTAACGCTAAATGACCTGCGGTCCTTACGGCCTTTTAACTCCTGACGACTGTAGTTTTGAAACCGGATTATGAGTTGGATCAGCTCTATAGGATTTTGGTAGAATCCTGGGTTGGTCATTGGGGCATTCTGACACCTGAATATGATAGGGTGACACTCATCAGAAGTTGTTGACGGGCTAATGTTGCAACCGCCTCGTTTCGTTAAAACTCTGGCAGACCTCAAAATACGTTCCCCCCGTGGTAGGTGTAAAGTGAAAGAACTCCTTTTTTGCGCTGTCG